ATATATATATATATATATATATATATATGAAATCGGAAACACCATTAGATCCTCAAGATTAGATTGTTTTTTATGGCTCTTGTTTGAATACAATCCCCGAAAATTGCTAGCAATGGGAGCACAATTATTGACGTTTTTAGTCTAATGTGTTTTATCTAACGGTTGTTTATTGTTCAGTAAGTTCCAATTTGAGGAATTCACTACGATCACTAATGTTAGTCAGTTTAACTTGCATGCCTCGCAGCATTCGGTCCCAGTTATCGCGATCTGGCTGTCTGAGTTAGAGGAGTGTGAGAGGGAATTAGCGCACGTGTATCGAGGGTAGATGGTCCATGTTGTTTCCTACTACTTTATGCACACAAGTATGATCTCTGAAATCTCATCGACACTGCCTTCTTAAACTCCGTCAATTCTGAGTTGTAATTTGATAGTACACGAGACTGAATTATAATATGTACTATACTCACGTGCATAAATATTTGATGGTTCCTTTTGAGAGGATTCTCAGTATGATGTATTTGATGAATAAACACTTTATAGGAATAAAAATAGGTATGTTTGTATATCGTCAACACAAGAAGACATTTGAGGGCATTATTGGTATTGGCCATCAATTTTGCGTGCTGTCATTCACTTAAAAACGCATATTTATGCCATCAGGTCAAAAAAACCAGGTGACTGCAGCTCAATGAGAACGCGCGAAATTGATGACCAATATCACTTGTGTCCATATATGTCTTCTTGTGTTGATGAAATTGATGAAGTCAAAGGTTGTTATATATTTATATTGGCGTCCGAAGATTTTTTTGTTTTTAATACAGGAACTGATGTCACAGCTGCTTTGGATCCTAACCTGTGCTTGGCACAGTTAGCCCATGCAGCAAATTCTGCCAACGCCCAGCAGTCTCAGAAGTTACAACAGCAGCAACAGCAACAGCAACAATTGTCTTCACTGGGTGTAATCAATCCGCTACTGTCTCCCATGTTAGCTGGTGCTTCATTGGAGGGTTTGACAATCAACACTCCGTCTACTACGACCGCCTCTGGTGCGAATGCTGGTTCATTGCCACCGGCACCCATTGGTTACCGAGGTAGTATCACCACTGGACAATCTGCTCAACAGATCCAATTACAGCAACAGCAGCAGCAGCAACAACAACAACAGCAAGCTCATCAAAAGCAACATTTGTTAGCCAAATACTCAATACCATCAGATTTCATGACTAATCGGCCTGGTATGTCAAATCAACCTAGTGATGCCGCTCTGGTGAGTTTTGTCTCCGCTTTTGTTCTTAAATGAATAAAGACATTCCTATTTCGCTGTCTGTTGCAATTGTACCGTGAACATGTTCGTCATACGTAGTCGTCTGAAATTGTGTCACATGTATTACCAGTCGACAATCGCTGTTTTAATGGACACAAGTAATCCCTTTGTTTTAGTTGGCTTCAAAGATTCGTGCTGTTTTCCGAGAAGATAAAACATGCGAATCTGTCTCCGCCCAAGTATTTACAGTTCTTGTCAATTATAGCTCTACGACGAACCAAATAGTCCGTAAACAATAACAGTGTTCATCTTCGGGGCTTCATTTATCGTGTACTTTCAATCGATCCGTTAACATTACTTCTTCACGTGTTCAATCAAATGCATGACTTTCTCAGCAGTTAGATGTTAGGTTTTTCGGAATTAATAACAGCTGTGACTCGGTATTTTCCGTGTCCCATCAAAACTCCTCGTTGCCATTGTTTTGCACCATTCAACCATCTGTCACCTCTTGCTCTACGAAGTTGCTTGAATGCGGCCACACCTGCAACAGTTTGTCAGTTAGGCTAAACTGCCAAGAGTAGTTGGCTTCCCGGAACTCTCCGAGTCACGTTTTCATCCATGCAAACAATTCCGGAGGACTCCGCAGTTGAAATCATGTTCTGGACCCAGTGATTAGAAGTGCAGTCTGACTTCCAAGTGCATTACGGCATACCCCCACTGTCTTGTAAATCCCACTCGGTTTTGTAAATCCCGGAGATATGTTTGAACAAAAACCGAACGGTGTTGGGAATATCACTCTTTACTGATTCCCATCAGCTCTTCATAAAACAGGTTCTTCCGCTATCAGAAGATAACTGATGTAATCTAAAGTAAAAAGCAAGTAATGCTCTGCAGATGGCAGCGCTGCTGATCTACGCATCTAACTGAACGCAAAAAGCGCGTGTCACATATGGCTGCACCGTCAATCACTCCAAGTATGCAGAAACGCTTACAACGTATGTGATTCTTTACTCAGCCATAATTTGTCTTCTGTTTAATCAGTATTAGACAGCACGTCACCAGAAAATAAATCGATGCATCGAAGATAGTACTGTTCCTATAATTAGCCACGATTTGGTGTAAATAAAAGAAATGTTTTGTCTGTTGAGTCTAATGAAACATGTCAAACGCCTGTTTATCAGATAACCCAAATGGTTTTGGGTCGTTCTACTTGCGATTTAAACATTGCCCTTTGCTTTTACAACGCCGGGTGTTGATTGCTGCCGATAAGCAGTTTGGCAGTTATAATTCTAGTTGACCGCTTCTGCGATGAGCTCAGTCGGGTGACGAATAATGATACCACAATCAAAACAATACCCGCGATCACATTCATGACCAAACGGTCGTACGCTGGACTGTGGTAATACCTTCGATGTTGGGGGTTACAGTATTGTTAGCACGTCTGGCCCATAGGCCTAACATTAGTTCGACACCAGTCCCCAAAAGGAAGCCGGGAGATTTCGACCAATCACCTGCACTTCTGTTTTACTAGAACTCTTTTGAAAAGTTTATGCTTATTAACATTATTCCTAACACTGGACAGTTAGATCACAGCCATTTCACCTATCGCAATCAACGTTCTACCTTAGACACTCTTGCACATTTGGTAAGCTCAGTTTTGAAATCCCTAGACATGCATAGTACAGCATTTCGTGTAATGCTTTTAACTGTTACCAGGGGTAGGTTTTTGTCTTTACTCCAGAGTGCTGGATTGCCCCATACCATCCTATCTCTCCAAGATTATTTTACTTGTAGAACACACTTCACGAAGTTTCCCGGAAAAATTTCTGACTCGCTACCGGTCAATTCAGGGGTGCTCCAGGGAGCAATACTGTCCCTTTTTCTCTTTCTACATACAAAACCTACCCACTGACCCAGATGATCTTATCAAGTATGCTGATGCTGCCACCATGGGCTGCAAATTTCTAGGTGATTTCCGTTTCTCATAGCTTCAAATCTTAAGCCTTAAAGTTATGGTCTTGGTATTCCAAATTGTCTATCAATGCCTCTAAATGTAGGGATGTCACCTTCTCACTAGCCAAAGGAGAACGGCTACATTCTTTTGAAGGAATTGTCATGTGTTCTATGTTGATAACCAGTCTGTTCCCCCAGTACGTTCTCTGCAAGATCTCAAATGGACTTTAAACTCAAACTCTACTTTTAAAAAGATTCGACGATTGTGTTTCTTTATTTCCTGCTTGCTATCTTCAAAAGTTCCACCGTATATTCTTGTGTTGTTACTCATCTTCGTAACTGCTCCCCAGTTTTATTTGAGATCTTACAGTTAACGACTACACAATTCTTTGCCAGTATATTAAAATTATTTCGCACACAAGTGGTATTCCTTATTTACACTTGATTAACTTTATCGCCGTCAAACATTTTACCTCTTCCGAAAACTTCTGCAACAATATTCTATCAGACGTCACTCACAGAACTTAAACAATATGTATCCACTTATGTAACTAGATGTCGTTATAAACTGATGTACGCTCGTACCACTGCCTACCAATTTCCGTTATCCCATATCCTTCGTGATTTCTGACGCAAAAGCATTCGTTAGAGAAAACTATTTCAAATTCCTACGTAAATGATATCCATTTTTTCAAATTTTTACGCCATATTCATCTTGAATTTAGGATGCTGTATTTAACTTTTCCTTTGTGACTGTATGCGATGATTAATGACCCTAGTGTGCAAGGAGCTGAAAATCCATCCATTTGGGTGAATAAAGCGATTTGTGAAAGAAGAGATATTCCTGATCCAAAGGCTAGGAAAGCAGCTTGTATCTAAGTGCATCATTACTAAAACCATACAGCATTGTTGTTCACATTTGGCTGTTGAAAGACAGAGGTGCAATCTCAACAAATGTCGAACGATGTTGGGAACACCACTCTCACCCAATTCTCACTACATTTTATGAAATTTTCATGAATTTAGCTGATCCTCCCATAGGAGATAGCCGAAGTGAACAAGGATGTTGCGAGATCGCTTATAATTTGCCATAATTTGGTGTTTTCTGCTTTGTGATTGCCAGAAATCGAGTTTCACCAGGGCCAATATCTCTCGATTTATAGTTTTTGACAGCAAGCTTCAGCGTTTTTTTTTGGTGTAAACACAATGATGTGTGTTTGCAACTCCGAGATGTTTAGAGGTTCTTTTGCGAAAGAAATCGTTCACAAAGCTCATTCACGGGATTAGGATGCTTGTCGCACATTTTCAGCAGTCATTGATGAAACCGATCTCTGTTCACTTCTCTTACAATCAGAAACGAAAATTCGTGAAGCTATCCAACTTTTCGGTTTATTCTACAACCTCTAAGCTGACATTGAATGCTACGCGGTACTGGAGGACAGTTTAACTAAATTATAATTCTTTAGTAAAGAATATGTGCAACGTTTGCCAGGTGACTGAAAGTAAACTGTGTAAGTTCTTGAAGAGATCAATAAAACAGGATTGACCACCAACAAACTGGGACGACAGTGGTATAATTTTTTGCCAATAACAGCATCGTAAACCATTCAACCATCGCATGTGCGGTCGAGGGTTTGTTGAGCATTTTCGATTCTACAAGGAATTCGTCGTGTAAGCGAGGCGCACGCGGAAAAGCTAGGAAACACTGGACAGCTGTTTGGACCTAATTTGGTCTGATCAACAGTGCGAATCCATCGACCTAACTGGGGGTCGAACCCGGGACCTCACAGGTAGAATGCAGGTGTACTACCCACTCGGTCACCAGGCTTCATAGTTTTACAATTCACGTTTTATTTGCTCTTTACACGAAATTCACCATATGATTAAACTGAAGCCTCCGCTATTATGCAATTTGTAGTCGGGTTGAAATGTTTCCAACCGAGCCACAGCCCTAATGACTAGTACTGAGATGCCCAAGATGCGATGCCTGCAGTGATAGGTTGTTATATGGTGTATAGGGAAAGTGAAAAACGGTCTAATCAGTTGCCTCAGGTTGGTCAAGTGTGAAGTATGCTTGGGTTCTACGTCTGAGGTCCCGGGTTCGATCCCTAGTTGGGTCAATGGATTCGCATTGTTGTTGAAACCCAACCCGGTCGAAACAGCTGCCCAGTGCTCCCTAGTTTTTCCGGTCACTCCTCATTTGCACGACGAGTTCATTATATAATCAAATCAAATCCTCTGTTCCTCTTGTACATTTTCGATTCGCTGAGGGGCACGGGAATAAGTCGACAGCCAAACGTTCTTTTTCTTCTTCCTCTTTAAATCGTATCAATTTAATTTGTATATGCCCAACTAAGAAACGAACTCAATTCAGCGACCACTACTTCGTCATTTTTGCTTCCGCAATGGTGGATTCCCTCCTACTTCACCATGCACAATGTGGCCATTTCGGGACAGGCGTAGTGGCATTTTATTGTCACAAATATGAATTTCACTTTCCTGGGGCTAGCTTAAACGCAACTCAGGTGCACACACCTATAGTCTCTTTCTATATGCCATCCCTATGTGCGTATGTCCGCCTGTTGACCAAAGCACATACTACGGTGAGGTATATGCTGAAAGCAGCCATTGCTGCCCCCAAAATACTGTTTGTGCTGTTTATCCATTCTCATCGAATCTATTCCGTGGTGTGGTACACAGAGCACCAATTTAGGTTTTCATGCGAGATGGATGAGGTTCAGTAAACTTCGCTCGATCAAATCGTTTGTACGACAACAATAATTATATTGACTGTGAATAATTGGTCACATCATTTAATAGCTGACATTCACTTATTCCATATACAAGATGCACCATTGGATCCTGATTTCTACAAGCAATAAAGCTCCGGACAATGGTCCATCCTCAAGTACTACTGCCATTAATAGTTTACTCGTAACCCACATCCAAACTAGTGTGATCCAAAGTTTTCAATATTCGAATTATCTTCCCATTCCATCGTAAATCCCTAGCTTTAATTATTAATAATGTTAATATTAGTATTAGTGTTATATTAATTGTGTTGTATGGACACGATTACGGCACCCGAAAACGAGCATATTTGCCTCTTTGTGTTCTCATTATCTTTTTCTGTGGAACAAACGTACCTCGTGAGATTTGTTTTCGCACCGATTAGGGTAGAAACGATCTAAGAAAAGCTTGATCTCATTTCCACCGTTTTCTTTTCCATACTAAATATCCTTGACAAAATCTTTGGTTGTTCCTGCCGACGTTCTGTTAGTTTGTTCGTTTTTGTTTGTTAGTCTTTAGTTACCAAATCAATAAAATGATCGCCACCTGTTGAATGATTGAAACTTGTTACTGATACCTGAAATCTGTTGTTCATACCAATCGGTCTTGTGATCGAAGTAGTTTTGTCTGACTACATTCCTACTTCACTTATTCTTTCAGCACGCAAATGCCATGTCTTTAGCAAACCAAGCAAAGTCTGACCGTTTATCCGAAGCAGCTGCCCTAATGGCTTCGATCGGTGTCAGTAATGCGTCGCCGGCATTACTCAACGCTGCTGTTCTACAGGCTGGTTTGGCGTCGGTTGCAGCCGCCGCAGCAGCCGCCAATACAACGAGTACCAGTTCCTCTGCTTCGGTGAGCGCCTCATCCCCGGTTGCGCTCACAGCGGTGCTTGCTCCTTATGCCACTGACCTTAGTCAGTTTAATTATTTGAATACTGCTACCTTGGCTGCTGCAATTCAGCAGCAGCAGCAACAACAACAACAGCTACAAAAGATGAATGCAGCGGCTAACAGTTCGGCTTCCCCACGTACTCGCGCCAGTCCGGCCGGATCTGCAGGCTCGGCAACCTCGTCGAACGTGTCCTCACAAATGAACGCCTCCGTTCGTCGTTTCTTTTGAACGTTCCATTCGCTTTGTATCCCCCTCCCTCTGTCTGTCAGCTTTCCATTTTCTGATTTTCTTTTCTATGCATCCCTTACTCCGCATTTACGGTCTTGTCACTTGTTCCTCCCAGACTGTCACGGCCCGCGTGTTTGTTTTCCCGTGCAATTCAGATAGTTTTCCGATCGGTCGGTGAGCTCCTCACTCCCCCACAATGAAAGTTGCCGGTGAACTACAATAATAATGATTGCCCTTGCCTTCCCTCCACCCACATCCCTACTTTCTAGTTTCCCATTTCCCTGTTTTAATTTTTTCCAAGCAGCTACCATTCGTCTCATGTCAGGTATATTTCATTCACTTTGCAATATGCGCTCCTTCATCTTGATCCATTCTGTTCTCTTTCTTACAACCTCGGGTTAAGGGCCAATCCGGCATGCTGATAACGAGTCTGAGTTGTACAGACATCAGTGTGGAAAATTGTTTATATCAGAGGCTTCTGATGGGCTCAAGATTTTAACCACCTAAAGCCAGTAATCCTCATACATTTCGCTCGTGCATTGGTGCCATTGCCAGGTCCTAGGCGTGCTCTTGTATTCAGTGCAATTCTCAATCATTTGTCGATCGATAGAAGCTTCGCAGTGATCATCGTCAACCAATGTGTGATCCACCTTGTCCGCTCATTAGTGTACAGCTGCATACAAAAGCACAATGTATTGTGCCAGATCTTCCAATCTAGTGGCAAGTGCGCTACATTGTAGGTTAATAAAAGTTGTAGTGACCAAGCGAGTAAGAGCATACATTTGATGACTTGCGGAAAATCATCTCACGTCGATTGGCGGTAAAGTGATTTGCGTTCTGTTTCTGCCGTATGCATTCAGAAATGAGACTGTCAGTAGCTGTTCGCGTGTTTTCGTGGTTACAAAATATTTCGAATTCGTTTCCCTACAAGTGAAGTTGTGCCACACGTCAAATGATAATTTGCTTCCGTGCGGTTGGGCCTTTGCGAAGAGATTTGGGATGAAAAGCGAGTAGTGCTGGAGGCATCCCATGATGGGACCTCAGTTGGTGTTGGTCCTTCGGCGATTCGAGTTCAGTCAGGGGACGAAAGCGACGAGGGTCAGGACGATAGCCTTTCAAATCAGCTGTGAAACCCGAAAATTCCAATTCCGTAAAGCTGAACAGGCATTTGGATGTCCGAATCGACACATTCTTTTGAGAAGAAAGCTTCAGTAATTGAATGAGTTGGGCGTTGTGTTCAGCCTTTCTTGATTCAAACACTTATTATCCTGATATACCAACACCCCACCAATCCACGTATAACCCAGTCAATGGCTCCCGGGAATTCGTATGATGAAGTATGTACATTGAATGTCAAGAAATTATTGATAGTCCCCATGGTGTGTTGATAGTGGTGAATTGCCTGCACGCGGGAACCAGAGGAATTTGAAGATGTTTGCCAAGTCGATTTTTGATAAGCACGTGTTGCCATACAATGCGTTCCATGGTGGTGGTGACACTTTCTCAACCTAAGAGTTCAAGATTAGCAAAAGTCACTCCAAATTCGCGGTATATTTCTGTCGCTTTTGATTGCCACTGCTATTGGTGTTGCCCACGCGCTTAACATGACACGACTGATGATAACGTCACGCTCCATTTTTTCGATGGCTTTCGGTACACCGTCGCGCTGGCCATATGGAATTACGCGCGGTTTTATGAAGATCGGCTCACTGTCAACTTTCAGTCTGGCGAACTGAACATGCATGCCTTGTTGGAACACTTCAGGATTAGCTGCTGCGGATGCATGTGCACATTGGACGCGGTGCTGGTATGGAGTGACACTGATTGGTTCCACACACGAATAGCAGCTAGACCCAATATAGATGGACCGCTTTTGGCGATCAGGAATCGAATGGAAACTGTTTTTCTTTAGATTGTGCCATCATTGAAACCTCGTTTATCAAAGGTAGTTTCTATCTCGTAAAACCAGGGATTCATATAGATAGACTAACTTGGTTTCCAGATAAATTGATCGTACAACGTCAACAGAAATCATAGATTCCGGACTTGTGTTTGCAATGCATTTGTGCTGCATACCGGGTTGAAGCACCATATCTTTGTATATGCACTGATCACACTCTGGGTTCGTAAGACAAACACAGGGCTTGTGTCTTGCTGGGTCGGTGGCTGTGCCAGGTTACAGCGAGGCTGTTTGGACAACCCTCGTGTATGTCCAATTTTCCCGCATCCATAGCATTCAGCATTGCGGAATAGACACGTGGAGTGCAAAATGTAAGCTCCACAAGACAGACATGGATTGATGGGTTTCGTGGTGTCAGGATTATCGCGTTGTGGCTTGGATGCGTATTTTGACACTGGAGATCGGACTGGTTTCTGGCCGTTCCGTAGAGAGTGACCGATTCGCCAGAAGTTGCTTGCATCAGATCATGTTTTCACAGATCTTGCGTACCTCAGCAAATGTCACATCTTTCTTTTCTAACAATTTCCGTTGCAGTGTCAATTTGTTAATATCTACCACCAGACATCGTACACTTGTTCCTCCAAACGATCGCCATAATTACTTCAGGCCAACTGCTTGTTCAACTGGAGGATGAAAACGTGACAAGACATGTTTTCGGCACTTATCAAGGAATTAAATTTGGCTCTTTCATCTACCTGGAACTCAGTGGGCAGCAGGTGATCAAGCACCAACCATTTCAAGGAGTCGTATAGAAGTTTTGCCGGAGCCTCGGGAATTGTCAGTTTCTTTAGCAGAGAATGCAAGTCACGGCCGCAGTGAGGAGTAGGGTCGATTGGTTTCGCGCGCCACTCTTGCGAATGCTGCATCACAGCTCGAACCGCTCCACTTATTCGTCGATCCCAGACGGACTGGCACACAGGTTCAATTGCTCGATAGCTGGCAGCTCCATTTCGCGACACTAAATTGTAGTAATTGGAATAGGCACGAATGAAGGTCGCAAATGTAGCTCAGAATCGCACTAGCAATCGCCCCCTAGAAATTCCCATCATCTAGATCCAGGAAAAAGGCCACAGAAGTAGCGGTTTGTTTCTTGAGGAAGATCAATGGGATTAAATAATACGTACAAAGAAACGTCATTGGTTAAACAAGTCTTTGCCAATAGCCTACTTTCAGTCGTTACTTCACGTACCTTCCGTTTGATCCACGCAGCTTCTGATGCCTTGGTGCTTTGCCCAGAGATTGTCAGACAGAATAAGAGACGTTTACTCCCCATACTATTTTTTTAAAAGGACGTCGAAACGCACAACAATGAAACATAGCGCTACACTAGGCAACACCATAAGTAGATGATGATGGAATTCGAAGGGTCACAAGGCGTTAAAACAATCTAGCATTTTAAGTATTGATCATCCCGAGTTAGCCAAAAATTGTATAAGTGGACATTTTTGCGATCAAAAAAGGTTCAGTTCCACCTCCTTAATGAGGCAGCAGTTCGACGACAAATAACCGAAGGGATGTACTGTAATCCCTTCCACAGAACTATTGTTTCCAAGGCTACCTATATAGAGAGATTCTAATAATTACGTTACACTGAATACAATCTAGTTCGACTCCGATGTATTGAATACTGTCTCATGATGAGATTGTTTCTAGCAATCTGTGATGTAACTTTATTTTATCTTCCCTAGACGATTTTATTCTCAATTGGTGATATACATTGTGAATCATTGGCATGAATACGAAACGCGAGTTTGTTCACCACTCTGGTGTTCTGCATGAAATATTGAATAACCCCAGCCATCCATGGTTTTACTGACAAATGGTTCATTTAAAGTCCATCTCAGAGGAAATTGTCTCACCCAAGTGATCCAAAATTACCGATTGAGATACCGGTGTCATTCCTTCGCTATCAGAGTGTACATCACCTGGAATTCACTTCCATCTGACATCCTACATTTGTGCCAACACTGCTTATTTCAAGCTGAGGCTTCAAGAAACAGTAGCATGCTTCAAAATACAATACCGGTGAAATCATTTACATCGGAAGAAGGTTATATTGTGTGATATCTGCATTACCGGGCACTGTATATATGAGGCCGCATCTCATGACACGATTTATCATCAGCGACATACAACAAGACAAGGTCAGAAATTGACATAATCTTTTGATATACTGGAAATAGATTGATCCCCTCCGGGAAACAAAAAGGGTTCAGCGAAATCCGCAGACAGGAATGGACTTACGTACGGATTAAGCAGTCAATCAGTATCAGTTCAGAGAAGCCTATCCATTAATCCGGTTCAAGTATGTCACAAATTGAGAGAACCGGCAAAGGATCTTTTAAATGTATGTTCAAAAAGATGTCTTTTAAGAAGCTTCAAAAATAAGTCAGACATTCGTTTTCACTAAATAACAAATAAGACATACTACATACGTGTGGAAACCGCCGTTACTGAATGGTCCAGTTTCACCCACAAACAACTGCTGACTGCAGTAAATAAATGGCTGTAAATTCCTCGGCACAGTGACGTACACAATCCATGTCACAACCAGTTNCAACCAGTTTTTGATCGTGAATCTTCCACGAATTATTGGCGCTGTGGGAAGTGTAATCACAGTAATTCGGGGTTGTTTGATTTATATTAAAAATAAAACGGATGCACCGGATTACTCCCGTGCTTCTCTCCGGTAGGTATTCGTGAATTGGTGTCTCAAACAGAGAACGTTCAGTCAAATTGCTCGTGCTGTCTAATCAATTCTGAGTCCTAACCCCGTCCATGAGGTGAAATCTCGTTGTATCATCCCCGAGCAGCTGTCAAGATCGCTTGCCGCTTCGAGTCCTCGGATCCGACTGGGAGAAATTAACAAATTAGCGCTCTGAGTGAGCGAGTTTGCAGAACGTTCATCGTCCGCAAGCTGGTCTCGGTTACGAAGTTGGAACAGTGAATGCTGTGAGGTCAGATGGGTATGGATCATGGGCGGATGTGTTCATTTCTGTTGTATTCATTGAAATCGATAAACAACAATAAG